CTGCAGAAGTCTGCGTCTACGAGCAGCATTCATGGTGGACCGGTCAAAGTACAAATGTACTGTCAATGAATGACACATACATACAAACCCACGTTATATATATACTCCATACGTAAGCAGCTCGGCCGAATCTGGAAATCCACGCATCAGGAATCCTACAACTGTCGCCATATTCGGGATGATCGGAGCACTGCCGAAACGCAATCCTATTACAGTCTGCTGTACCGCATTGCTTAATTGGCACAGTAGAGTTGTTGCCCTTTAAGTATTTTCATTGGTCCGAGGTTTTCATGTGACCAATGAAAATACTCCATTTGAAAACAATCTATTGCGCCATTTTATTTTCATTTCGGATTGAGAATTTGACATAAAGGAAAAAAGGTATGTTATAGTTTCATATGACGCTTTGATTGAACAATAATAACAAAAAATAATCTAATTTTATCATATTAAATACGCAATACAAAGAAATATTCATTCACTGTGAATTTAGAATGTTTTACTCGTGTTGACAGTTTTGGCTTAAATATTACTTGCTACGTATAATCAGGGAAGGTGTCAGTGTACAATTTGACACCAGGATTGTTAAGATCGGTGAAAAATTGATGAATATATGCGCTGATAATTGAGATGCTAGTTATATTTCTATGCAAAACGAAAGAAGAGTAAAATACCTTTATAATTTTTTAGTCATATAAAAATAAATTCATAAAATTTATTTTTGTCAATACATATGATGTTTGGATGATGTTTAAGGGTTTTGGGTTGTAGGGGGGGGGGGACGGTATAGTGTAATTCATGGCCACGCGACGTTATCATCTTTCTTTGTCACATAACTGTTCACTTCGAGACTGCAATGATGTCCCTTTCGATCCACCGTAAAAATATGTGCCCGTGTTGTAAAGATTTATCGCAAAGGTGTCCAATTACCTTGAAACTTGACAATTGGGCTATTCAAGTTGTCCAGCCAATTTTCGATCAGGTTACAAAATACAACGAAGTTACACGGGAACGAAACACTTTATTACACAAAAAAATGTATACAATCACATGTTTCTTAAATAATACACTGTTAAGATCATTTAACGCTAAGCTTGTCGGTAGTTGTACTCTACGCATAAAATCAATTTTAAGGACGTTGTTTTTTTCTATTATCAAAAGCTCCAATATCAATTATATAAAATAATTATATAATAACTGTTGATATTATTATACAGTTATAAATGAAATATTGAGAAATATCGATGAAATTAAATGCTTATTATCAGTTTTTTTCCGTATTATCGCTGTAAAAATTTACTTTTCACTACAGTGAAACATATTCTCTGTATTTTCACTGGTGTCTTGCAGGACTACTTTCTTCTAAAGTAAGCGAAATCACAAAATCTTTAAATTTTAAAAAAGTCTTTCAAATTATAATGTCAGAAAAGAGCAAAAGATATATTGTATATAATGAACTGAAATTAAAGTTTTTCTATAAATACTGGATTTGTTTTCTTCTTGTGGTATGAAAATTATCATATCTACTCGTGGCACTCATGAAATATTTTATTTTCACACCACTCGATGAAAATAAATCCTTTACTTATAGAAAAAAAAACTTGATGATGATGTTGATTATTGTTATTGTTGTTGTGACAGCTGTTGTTGTTGTTGTTGGTGTTGTTGTTGTAAATATCTGTGCTTTTGTTGGACAAAAGTAATAAAACTGCCATTTAATTTCTACAATTAATAACATCATACAGATATTACTTTTCATTTATGCTGAAATGCTACTTTTGTATAAGAAATGGAGGTGGACACATACGAAATTTAAATGAGGAACAGTGACTTGGTGGTTTGTTTTAGAATCTGCCTAACAAGCACGTGATCGTGGTCAAAAATACTTATTTTACTTCACGTGTCCCCATTTGATAATAGTAAGAGCAATGTTCTTTCTCTTTTGTACCAAAGGCAAAACTGAAAACATGTTCACTGTCGTCACGATATGAAACCCCAGAAAATGTCGCCAATGTACGAGCACCTGGATATGATTTTTAAATCATTATCCCTTTCCCTGCTGTCACAATTAATAAACCCAAGAAAAAATTGTAGCCAATCAACAGTCGGCAATTGACAGATACCTACGCTTTAGCTCTGACACATGTTCCAAACTATGATACAATTATTTAATGGAATCGAACACGAACTTCAATTGCAACAACTTGTTTCATAATCGAGCACAAAGAACTACCTTTCGTGAAATATTGAATTTCAGTATTCATCTTCTTATAACTAAATGATGAATAAAATGTGAATGGATGGGACTTTTGTTCCCCTTTATTGTAAAATTACATAATAATGATTTGATTAAAATACCATATATTTGAACTATATGAATTTCTATTTGCGCACCAGATCTTCGGCTCCATTCGGGAAAATCCGGCAACCTCCGAGACATGAAGCATGTACACAACTCGTCCTTATTAAGTATTTCATGATAAAACGGAAATCAAATTTAGGCAAACTGTCTTGTTTCCACAATTGACTACAGCAGGGCCTCCGTGGCCGAGTGGTGACTTTGAACCACTTGCACGTCCTAGAGACTTTATTCCTTCGCGTAAAGATGGTACCGAGCGAGTGTAAGGTTAGTAGTTTAACAAAGGGGCCCGCATAAGCTTGAAAGATTGTATGGAAAGTTACCTAAGGTTCTTTTTATCAACAGGAAATTTCAGCGATTTATTAGTCATCCTTCAGGAAAGGTTATAGAAATTTATAGATGTTTTCGTAGTAAGCACTTAAAGTTTAACAATAGAGGAAAATGTCACTAAAATTGAACCTAGATTATGTAAACAATTGCCGTTTTGCCATTGACAACAAATTGAACTAATTGTTCCAAAATCGATATCCTTAGTTGTTTCCCATATAAGATGAAGCTCAATTTGTAAAACAACCAATTTTATCGATCACGTTCAAACTATTTCAAAACTACGGAAATTGGTTAATCTTTATTTTTTAACAAATCGGTATTTTGCCTTCTGTTATTGTTGTCAACTGTTGCGTTTAAAACATATTCTTAACATTTTTCATAAAGTTTCTATCTAGGTTCTCTTAAAAGAATACTAACTGATATAAATAAATTTCTCTGAGAATATCAATATGTGTTCAATAAACAGTGCATCAAAATAACATTCGAACACTATTATTCTTCTTCTTCTTCTTTTTGCTAAATAAGTGTATAATAAATTTATAAATTGTTTAGTTTAAGTGTCAATATGTATGTATTTGATATTTCATTACTATATAAAACCCTTTTAATACACGTTTCCTTTACGTGAAACTCAAATTAGAAACACATTTATACAGTGGACACTAGATAACTCAAAGCCGCTTTACACGAAATCCCGAATAAATCGAATAATTCTTAAAGTCCCGTCTTAAAGATTTCTTAATTACCTATATCTTGAACTCTCTCAATATGTATTGCACACTTTACATATAACCTTTAGCTCAGTGTGGGCCATTTAGGTCGTACCAGTGTCCCCTTTGTAATTTGAACTCAATATCTCCGCCCATTGACAGGTTTCAAAAGAGTAATTATCGTAGTTAACAATGGTTGTTTATGTGAATCACGGCCTATTTGCCAGTTTCGGGTCCAAACGACCTTGCCCTACATTCCAACCTTTACACCAGCAGGCACGAAAATGTTCACCCACATTTAAGTTTATAATACGTGCGACATAATTAATGTATTGTAGTAGACAATACCTAAAATAATGTGTATATGCATTTTAATTTACATTTAAAATTCTTCATCAATTATAAAAATATATTATTAGTGATATAGACTTTATCTACTTTTGTTTGATACTCACAGTTCATTTGAATTAAGAGAAAATGCCATTTAAACAAAAAACAACAAGGGATCTCCCACCTTCAAAGCAAAGTACAATACTGCAGAGCTTCCATAAATGGAAGTTTTGGAGTCATTTACTCCTGATTTTGGATTATGACTTCCGAAAAATAGCCATTTTCCTTCTTTACCAATATATTGTGACTTCTGTTGTTAGACATTTTGCAGTCTCTGACTGGAAAATCAAAAAATAATAGTTTGAAATGAAAAAAGTCAGTAAAACTGGTTGAGAATAATACTGATTGTATTGGACTCGTACACAGCTGCAAACCTATATCAGACTCGACTAGCGCTCGTCCAATATAGTTTTGACAGTTGTGTACTAGTGTGATAGAAATTATGTATTGTATTCAACAATGTATAACAACCTTATATTATATGAACTCAAAATTTAACTTAAACTGAAAAAGTCGTCTTTATATCGTGCAATTTCTTCGTGAATTTCCGTAATGGGGAATCCTAAAAGAAAAACTTTTAGTTACTATTTACTCAGCGATTATTTCTACATTTATGGTAATAAAATTTAATAAAAAGATTGTCCAATATCATAAATATTTCTCAAATAAAGAAAATAAAAAAAATAATATCAATTTATTCCGTATGCCTAGAACATTACGACATGAAATGATCAAACTAGTTACTAACTGTCATGTGTTGCTGTTGAGATCGAAATATCCCTCCCCAGGCTACCCGCTCACTGGGCAGTAACAAGGCTTGAATATTCTATTATATTCTTCCATGTTTTGAATGATTCACCCTAATGAATTGTTGAATTTTTTTTTCATGGAAATCAATGTAATTTCATCCGAAACTTTTTTATTTGACAGAAGCGTATAAATTTACAATTTCATTTATAACGGTGAAATAAGGTCAACCTAGGCAAGCAATTTCATTTATACAAATGCGTTAAAACGACGTCCTTTCAAAGCATGCGATTTATCTGGTAACCACAACAACAAATATTTCCGGATTGGAATTATAAAGATAATATAAAAGGCCAAGTTCCCGACGGAATGTTGTTCTATATATGAGTCAAAATGCAAATGAGGGGTTTAATTTTGCTTGTATATGATACAAATTAGGCAAAGAATAAAACGAACTGTTTTCATTTTTATAACATTTTTATTAATATATCTTATCACAGTCATAATAAAATTTCTTTAAAAAAATGAATATATTTGCATAAGTTATTTCTCTAAACATATAAATAAACAACAAATATGTTTTGCATTAGGCTTCACAATGTGGCATTAAGCTATCTTTTCGGACTAGAAAAAGGCATAATATGTAATGTAAGACATAAATTTTCTATCAATGCATCTACGTACTTGTCTGACTAAAAACGTGCTTTACATTTAAAGCCATGTGGTATGACAAAAACATGAGCATGCGTAAAATTACATATGCTTACATATTTAAAGAGACTTTTTATTAATGAACTAAATTCATGTCATGGTATGTATTTAACTAAGGTTTAGAAAGAAGTTGACGTTCAGAATTGACTGCCTAATGATGTACATGAAACATGTTTTATAAAGCGGAATACGCGCATTTGTCGATGCGCGTCCAAACCAGAATTGATTGTCTTACATTGTACTTATTGCATGTCATAGCATGTGTTTTACTAAGAAACTTAAAACACAAATATCAATGCACGTACAAAAATGACTGCTTAAAAATGTACTAAAATGCAGTTATGCGTTTTATTCAGAAACATTAAAAAACAAATATCGATCGCGTATAAAAATGGCTGCCTAACAATGTACTTAAATGCATGTCATAGCATGTGCTTTTTTAAGAATCTTTAAAACACAAATATCGATGCACGTACATAATTGACCGCCTACTAAAATGCATGACATGACATGTGTTTTATTCAGAAAAACAAATATCGATGCACGTACAAAATTGTACAAATATGGATACACGTATAAAATTGACTCCCAACAATGTACTAAAATGCATGTCATAGCATGTGTTTTACTAAGAAACTTAAAAACACAAATATCGATGCACGTACAAGATTGACTGCCTAAAAAGATACTAAAATGCAGAGATGAGTTTTATTCAGAAACCTAAAAAACGAATATCGTTCGCGTACAGAAATGACTGCATAACAATTTACTAAAATGCATGTCATAGCATGTGTTTTACTAAGAATCTTAAAAAACACAAAATCGCTTCACGTACAAAATTGACTGCCTAAAAATGTACTAAAATGCAGATATGAGTTTTATTCAGAAACTTAAAACAACGAATATCGTTCGCGTACAGAAATGGCTGCATAACAATGTACTAAAATGCATGTCATAGCATGTGTTTTACTAAGAATCTTAAAAAACACAAAATCGATGCACGTACAAAATTGGCTGCCTAAAAATGTACTTAAATGCAGAGATGATTTTTATTCAGAAACTTAAAAAAACGAATATCGTTCGCGTACAGAAATGGCTGCATTACAATGTACTTAAATGCATGTCATAGCATGTGTTTTACTAAGAAACTTAAAAAACACAAAATCGATGCACGTACAAAATTGGCTGCCTAAAAATGTACTAAAATGCAGAGATGAGTTTAATTCAGAAACTTAAAAGAACGAATATCGATCGCGTACAGAAATGGCTGCATAACAATGTACTAAAATGCATGTCATAGCATGTGTTTTACTAAGAAACTTAAAAAACACAAATATCGATGCACGTACATTGAAATTTAAATTTAAATCGACTGCCTTACAATATACTAAAATGCTTGACATGTGTTTCATTCAGAAGCTAAAAACACAAATATCGGTGCACGTACAAAATTGAGTCACAATAATGCACTAAAATGCATGTCATAGCATGTGTTTTACAAAGAAACTTCAAAAATAAATATCTTATGCACGTACAAAATTGACTGCCTAACAATGTACTAACATACATGACATGTGTTTCATAAAATAAATATGGTTGCACGTGTAAAATTGACTACCAAACAATAAACTAAAATGTCATAGCATGTGTTTCACAGAAACAAATTTCGAATGCACTTACAAAGTTGACTGCCTAACAATGTACTAAAATGCAAAACATGACATGGGTTTTATTCAGACACTTAAAAACACAAATATCGATGCCAGTACAAAATTGACAGCCTAACAATGTACTAAAATGCTTGTCATAGCATGTCTTTTACTAAGAAAACTAAAAGAAAAAAACAAAACAAATATAGATGCACGTAGAAAAGTGACTATCAAACAATGTATTAAAATGCATACCATGACAGGAGTTTTACTAACAAACTTAAAAAACAAATGTCGATGCATGTGCAAAATTGACAGGCTAACAATGCACTATATTGCATGTCATAGTATGTGTTTTACTAAGAAACTTTTTAAAAAATTGATGCACGTACAGAATTGGCTACCTAACAATGTACGTATTTGTATGACATGTGTTTTATTCAGAAACTTAAAAACACAAATATCGATGCAAGTACAGGGTTGACTCCCCAACAAAGTACTAAAATGCATGTCATAGCATGTGTTTAACTAGAAACTTAAAAAATAAATATCGAATGCACGTATAAAATTGACTGCCTATCAATGTACTAAAATGCATGTCATAGCATGTGTTTAACTAGAAACTTAAAACACAAATATCGATGCACGTACATAATTGTCTGCCTAACAATATTCAAAAATGCATGGCATGTGTATCTTTAAGAAACTTAAAGAAACAAATACCGATGCACGTATAACATTGACTGCCTAACAATGTACTAAAATGCATGATATGTGTTTTATTCAGAAACTTAAAACTCAAAAATCAATGCAAATACAGAATTGACTCCTAAACAATGTACAAAAATGCCTTTCATAGCATGTGTTTTACTAAGAATCTTAAAAAAATCGAATGAACGTACAAAATTGACTGCCTAACAATGTACTAAAATGCATGATATGTGTTTTATTCAGAAACTTAAAAACTAAAAAATCAATGCACATACAAAATTGACTCCCAAGCAATGTACAAAAATGCATGTCATAGCATGTGTTTTACTTAGAAACTTAAAAAAACAAATATCGATGCACGTACAAAATTGACTCTCCAACAATGTACTAAAATGCATGTAATTGCATATGTTTTACTAAGAATCTTAAAAAAAGAAATATCGAATGTATGTACTTAATTGAGTGCCTAGCAATGTACTCAAATGCATGGCATGTGTATTTTTAGGAACCTTAAGAAACAAATATCGAATGCACGTACAAAATTGACTGCCAAACAATGTACTAAAATGCATGATATGTGTTTTATTCAGAAACTTAAAACTCAAAAATCAAAGCACATTCAGAATTGAGAGCCCAACAATGTACAAAAATGCATGTCATAGCATGTGTTTTACTTAGAAACCTAAAAAACACAAATATCGATGCACGTACAAAATTGACTCTCCAACAATGTACTAAAATGCATGTCATAGCATGTGTTTAACTTAGAAACTTAAAAAACACAAATATCGATGCACGTACAAATGGACTCCCCAACAATGTACTAAAATGCATGTCATAGCATGTATTTTACTAAGAAACTTAAAAAAAAAACAAATATCTAATGCACTCAAACAATGAACTTAAATGAAGGACATGGCATTTGATTTACTAAGAAACTTTATTAACAAATGCCGATGCACGTACAGAAATGGCTGTCTAAAATTATACATGTTTACATGATAGGGCATGGTATTATCATACATGTATCCTCAATATCGTCATTATGGAATAGAATGATGAAAAATCTACTTTTAATATGTTCTAAAATTTGGCATGAATATTTTGTTGAGCAAGTAAAAGTAAAATTAAACTTTTGATATAAAAAACTAAGATAAAAAGATATATACATGTATATGGCAGTAAATTACTTAATGAATATATTTTTTGGATTATTTATATTATTTCAAAAACATTACTTTGCTAAGTTCTATTTTATTCAAAATTATTTCCTACCATTTCCTTTATCAAAATCACTAACTGAGTGAGATCTACAGTGCTCCTTCATTTCTTTTCTAAACATAAATGTGTGTTTATCAACTAATACGTGTACATGTATTTGATTACACTTTATTGTGAAAAATCCACGTTCACAATATGTGTTATTTTGATCTTAACAAAATAATTTATTATTTTTTCAAATCGACGTAATTTGTAAGAATCATAAGTAAAGGCAAAGATAGAGTTTTCACGTCTTTTGTTCAATTCAATACATCCTCTCTTCTGTAAGAACGAAAGATCAAAGAAGTCCTGACAAAGCGGATATACAGAGTAGACATTTGTAGGGAAATATTTCGAATTTGAAACAAACACTGCGTTCATATGTGTATCTGGAAGTTCGCCCCTATAAATAAACGGTGAATTACACGAGAATTGGTCGTCTTTATATACTAAATTATAATATGATTGTAGATTATTATATATCATATATTGACCAGTTAGAAAATGGGCTCCAATTGCATCATTTATATCTATCATAGGTTGATATAGCGGTATATTATCAATAATCTGCTTTAAAAACGGATGTTTAGATCTACAAAATATCACATTGTCAGAAAGAACATATGGTCTTTTTTCTTTTACTGAAACAAGTTCAAACGAACGTGCTGGAAGTACGCATGCGTATTTGTAAGTTATCCTTTTTAATGATCTTAGACATTTTACTTTCATGTCACTGAAGGCACCGCCGAACTCGTAAAGTAGTACATATCGAATTATGCTTGATCTGATTTCAAAATTTGCATAAGCATCCCAAGTCGGGATTAGTGATGGGTGTCTATCAGCTATAAGCTGTCGAGATGTTTCTTCTGTCCAAAACGAATACTTCCAGCTAGGATTGTAAAATAAGAAACTTTTTATATTTGTCACATATGATATTGGTATATTTAGATTTGTGTTGTACTGATGTAAAATGTGTGGTATTCTTGGAGTTATTGTCGCCACGGTCTGGAAATCTTCGTGCAGCTCCGGTTCAAATGGCGGATATTTGTCCGTCCTCACCCAGGTTGGAATTTCCACTGTAAAAAAATAACTGACTTAAATAAGAAAATTTACGGCATTTTTAACTTATTCGTCTGTTTCTATGATTATTATTTAATATGGGGTAAAAAGTTCACTGACAAAGGCAAGTAAATATTGAGTCTTTTGAAGGTTTCACTTGTGACACTACACCTAAAATACTTGTCTTTCAAGTAAATACTTCACTTTGTTAATATTTGTGGAATTCTATCTTTATTTGCTCTCCAGGTTTTGTTAAAGCAATGTTTTATTTATATTTTGTATTTTCCATGAATTTACAAACAGTCGAATGAAAATGTCATAGTGGAAATTGTCATTTTTAAAGAGAAATGTATTGCAACTACAAGGCTCATACGAGGTTTTTTCCAGTTTTGTTTGTTCTTTTGCTAATACTTTATAGATCAAAAGTCATAAGTTCTGAAACTATATCTCATGAGTTATTTTTCACATTAACAAACATGAAATATTTTGACAATATATTAACAATAATAATTGTGAGAAATGACTTAAAAGTTAAAGGCATTGCTACGTTTTTCACTCAAATCTGGTTAGAAAAGGCACAAAAATATGACTTATCAATATATTTCTGAGCATGTTGCTTATTATTTCTTGCATATCACTCTGTTTAAAGTGTCCCTGCTGATCTCTGTACGAAATTCATTACTTTTTTTTTTAGTTTTTTGATTTCTGCACTTTAGTCGAGTTCCTTTAAAACAAGTTAGATTAATTATTATGTGACAACTTATTTGAGATTATTCTATCTTATTAACAAACGCATTGAAGTTTTAAAAATATGTTTTTTATTATTTACGTCCACGACTGAACGCATCTATGTAAATAAAGAAATATGTGGTTAATAATATAAGATAAACTAGCGGTGAAAGGCGATGGGATGGTGATAAATCACAAATATATTTCCGGAATATAATTTAATGCATGTGAAACATGAAAAGATGTTTTGAATGCATTCAAATTAGTTGCATAATAAAGTTATAGAAAATGTATTTATTTATTTTTTACGGATATACCGTTCAAGTGATTTGAATATTGTGTTGAAAGAAACCATTTTGATGGTGTTTTATTGCTAATTTGAATTTCTCTCAGATATCCTACGTATTTAAATTTCTGTCATGCACGAACCTGTTCAATGCAAAACATCAATAAAAAAACAGGAAAAAAACGTAATAATAATAATATAAATAATAGTTATAGTAATAATAATGATGATGATGATGATGATAATGATGAAATACACTAAGCAGAAGAGGAGCAATCTTACACAAAAAATTTGTAATAAAACTATTCACTAACTTACATTCAAATATTTTCTCGGAAACAAATCCAAATTGATTGTAGAATAATATGCAGTAACATGTTTATAATAGAGTATAACCAGGATACCCATTTTACCTCGCGGTTGACCATGACAAGTTCACCTATTATACACGCCTTTTAAAGCCCCTTTCACCCCCCCCCCCTTTTGTTGTCTCAAATGGTGAAAAAATGCCTTGTTTAGGCCCCCAACACTTGTTTTTTTTGAGAAATGTTGTTTAAAAAGTTACCACTTTTTAGGCACCGCCCTCTATCCAAAAGATGCATCAGGGGGTTGCCAGAAGGGGGATATGTCCCCTTCTGTTTGTGGGTTTGAAAGGGGCGGCAGCCCCCCTCATCGCCAAGAAAATTTTGGACTTGTGAGAGGCTAAAAATGACCCCAGGTCGATCATAAGGTAATGTGTAATCAACGCTGAAAAGCCTTTGACTCTATCTCAGTCCATTGAGGAGTTGCAGCACTTTGAAGGAAAAAATCAATGCAAAATAGTGATTTTTTGGCAATTTTGAGATGTCCCCTCGTTGCCATGGTAACAGAAAATATAAAACTGAGCATGCTGTTACAAAGGAAATGGTCCAGTCAACATTTGTGCCAAGTTTTATTAGTATTAAAGTAGTCTTTATAGTTTTAAAGCAATCTGAACTTGTAACGGGAGACTTTTCATTCAAAAAAAATTTAGCACAAAATTGCTCATGCAGTAAAAGGTTAATATAAAGTATAACAGTGATCGAGGATTTATCTGTCAACTGTTGTAGGACACGACATGAATGCACTATGAACCTTTGCTTCTTCACAATCATCATATTTACATCCAGACTTTAAACATTTTTACTACTAGTATTTGAAATCTTAAACAGGCAAAAAATAAATAGGTAAATAAAAAAAGATAAATAAAATGAATAAATAAATGAATAAAATATAATTCTTATAGACTAGTAAAGCATAATTTGATGTCACACTTGATAAAATAAAATAAAATATTTACCTATGTAGCTCTCGAATAAATTTCCACTTAGGATCAAGATAAAGACAATAAAGCTCAGAAATTGTATTAAACGGTAATTCCTTTTACAAAAGCGTTTAAACATATTGAAATTTATAAACAACAGACAGCAAATATATAGCACAGTTTAAAGCAATTGAATTTGTTACCAAATATACGAAAAACATAGCATAAAATACATAATACGTTATAGCAAAAAAATGATCTTTTTTCTTTAAAAACATGCATTTCTTATATTTCAAACTTGTTCACATGTATATAATCCATTGCCATATAAATAAATTGTCTGCATAGTATACATGTATAGTAGAGCTGTCATGTCATGTGAAATTTCAGTAAATGAGTTCAACAAGAAATGGTTATAAAGCGAGCCTCTTATGATTTTAAGTTCCCTGCTGATGTGATCTATGTAAGAAATTCATTTTTTTAAAGCTTTTGACTTCTGGATCTCTGTGGAGTTAAGTAAGCTAAATTTTAAATTATGTGACAACTTATTTGAAATTATTCTATCACGTTACCAAACGCATTGAAGTTTTTTTTATTATTTACTGTATGTGACTCATGAAAAGATGTTTTGAACGTATTCATATTAGTCGCATAAAAAAGTAATAGAAAACATATTAATTTATTTTTTTTACGGATATACTGTTCATGTGATTTGAATATAGTGTTGAAAGAAACCATTTTGATAATCTTATATTGCTAATTTGAATTTCTCTTAGATATCCTACGCATTTAAATTTCTGATTTCTGTCATTGCACGAAAACTATCAATCAAAAACAGGAAAAAGAAACTTTAAAATTATTAACAAAGTCAAAAAGTCAAAGTCAAAATTTTATTTGCAATTCGGCAGATATCTGCCTTTGGCAATACAAACATAAATATACATATGGCAAACACACAATAATAAATCTAACAAAAGCAAACATTCATTGAATGAACATCATACATAATAATGCATATATTGTGTTAAGACTATTTTTGGTATATCGACAATTTAATACCAATCATAGCAAAGATCTAAGATTTTTTTAATATTTATTTTATAATTAACAATGATGATGATAATGATGATAATGATGATTATGATGAGGATGATGATGATGATGATGACGATTATAATGATGATGACGACGACGACGACAACGACGACGATGATAATTAGGATGATGATGATGATGATGATGACGACGATGATGATAATGACGACGACGACGACGATGACGATGATAATGATGATGATGATGATAAAATACACTAAGCAAAAGAGGAGCAATCTTACCAAAGATTTGTTATCAAACTAAACACTAACTTACTTTCAAATATTTTCTCGGAAACAAATCCAAATTGATTATAAAATAATAACAGTAACATGTTTATATGTTTAATGAATGAATAAATGAATGAATGAATGAATGAATGAATAAATGAATAAATGAATAAATGAATGAATGAATGAATGAATGAATAAATGAATGAATGAATGAATAAAAATTTAAAAAATAAATATAATAAAATAAATAAATGAATAAATAAATAATATAAAAAATATAAATAAATTATATAAAAAATATTAATTATTCATTAGTTTATTAACTATAGAATTATTACATACTAGGTAAGCATAATGTGATGTCACAATTGGTAAAATAAAATAAAAACAATATTTACCTATGTAGCTCTCGAATAAATTTTCACTTATGATCAAGATAAAGACAATAAAGCTCAGAAATTGTATTAAACGGTAATTCCTTTTACAAAAGCGTTTAAACATATTGAAATTATTTTTGTTTGTTTCATTATTTTGATATTTCAAATTGCCTATATCTGAACGGATTAAGTTGATCACCAATTACTATGTGTGTTAAACTGACGCAAATGTTTATCCGTTAAACTAAAAATACAACAATTATTTGAACGCGCGTTCCGATTTAATGTTAAACTATAGTACACAATACGTCTATATGCATGTAAATGATAAACTTAGAGAAAATATATGAAACACGAACAAATAATTCTGTTTTAATGATAGAAAAATTTAGGATATGTATAGTTTATTGTTTGTTTGACCAAAGTGATTCGTAACTGCCCCAGACAGTTCTTATGGCTGTCGTAAAAGAAGGAAGGCAAAACGTTTATATTTCTTTTATTGCGTGACCATAAAAGGAAGATTAAATATATTTAGATTTTAACATTTTAAACACAATACCATCAAACAAAATGATATAACATTAACTCATTTCAATGATATCAGTTTTCTTTAGCAATGTTTTCTTCTTTTTTTTCTTCTTTTTTTTTCTTCACTTTGATCAAGAACATTGTGCAATATATTGTTTTATCTTATTCGAATATATGGATAAATTTTAACAAACAGGTTATAAAAATGTTTTTGAAGTTATGAATGTCAACTGACTAATTTGTTGATATAAAAGAAGTTTCGTTTAAAACTGCTACATTTATCTCATCAATATTTTTTTTGCTTAAGAAAAGCTGCAGATTAAACTTGATAAAATAGTGCAAAAAGTTTTTTTAAAAGGCACAATATGCTTTAGAAGCAAATATTTTTTTCCTCTTTAATAAGGGAACATATGAATTTAATAACGTTTAGATAATGGTTTAAGAGCATGTTAGATGCTTGTTACATGAAAAAAGTAGCAAAAAATGTAAAATGATTCGTTACAAAAGAAGCATTATGTAAACAAAGTAGAATTTTCAGATACAAAACACCGTACCTACTGCCGAAGGGCAACAGATGAAGAAAACGGTTAAGGTAATTGGCCAATGAGTAACTTTTGGGAAAATATAAAAGTACACCAAGAATATAAAACTTTTGAGAAATAAATAAAAAAAACAATTCTAGGACGCAATGGATCTTAAAATTTAAAGTGAAAAGTTACTCCAAGAATAAAATTAAAACTAATGATTTTATTTCTAGTATTGGTCAATATGTTTGAATATGTAAAAATGTAATCAAAGGTGAAAATATTGATCTTTGTATTATTTTCTTTGTACTTTTTTCTAAATACCTATGAGTATTTTAATTTATAATGTAATCACCGAGGACCAAACGTATGCATGCACTATATATGTTTATATAAACAAAATTGATGAGAATTTTTGTTGCAGACATATACATGTAGCAACTTACTAAAAAACAACTTGTTACGATACAACGGATTAATGTAATTTTCTTGTAAGGGTGCCTGCAATAACGACGTGTTCAATTTAAGGCATATTATGCACAAGAAACGGATATTCCTTCTTCTAAAAGGACAAGCATGAGTTTTAATAATGGTTTTGGAGCATGAGAAAAGCTTTCATTTGAAGAAAGTTGCGCCGGCTGTGAAATATGTAGAATAATTTGTCATAAAATATAGCAAAATTAAACAAAGTAATATCTTGACTTCCATACATAATACTTAATCACTGTAACTGTTTTAATTGCAAAAAAGCAACAGAAGCAAAAGATGGGTCAAGTAGTTGGCAAATTAGTAACGTTTTGGAAACTTTATCAGGCAAGACACAAAAGATAAACAGCTTAGGAAAAATAAAAATATAGGCATTTCTGGGGCAGTCAAAAAGCACAAATCAGATGAGCGAGAGACATAGTTGGAATTCGACTACATATGAACAACGTTAATATATGAACAACGTTAACATATGAACAACGTTAACATATGAACAACGTTAACATATGAACAACGTTAAAGATGAGACGACAAATAAGATGTGGTATTTGTAAATGTGCTCAGTTTTTCATACAGCATGTATTGGTTAAATAATTTGTACACCTCGTCCAACATTTACAGTCCTATCAAACAGAATATAGATATCTTTCACATTATGCATGTATAATTATGTTCTATTCGATTTACCATAAATGTTTTGATGTTTTTATTACGTATGTTGATTATTGTAACGTCGACGTTTACGTAACGGAGGTTACGTCTTAGTATTGTATGATTTTATATCTCTGTTTATTACACATGCGTGCAGCTTTTACGACTCTGTAAAAACTGGTATTTTATGGCCGTGAATATATTTTGACGTGACGTCATTTTCGTTTAATAAACATAGCGTTAAGACGCGTTAAATGTTTGCGTTATACTATACAGTAGGCACGTCAATAAGAATTGGGTCTTTTTCATTTCAGACGGTTTTAGCTTTGGTATGTGATAAATAGAATATTAAATTCGTGTAGATTCAATACTAAATTTATTGAACTCCTTAAATAAAGTTATATATCGCTCGCCCGAGGCTCGCATATGATTCTATTCAACTTTTTCAATAACTTTAGTATTAAACTTAAACTTATTCAATACCTCCTATTTATTTAATTCTAAAATCTAACGTACTTTAAAGGGTTTGGCATTTATTCATGACTTTGTCCAGGGATATTAATATGCATTCGTGACTTGCCCTGCACAAACATAATATACGTTTTACCATTTGTTACTCTGTGTCGTTCTACTTCTTAACTTGTTGCTATCCAATTAAAAAAGTACAATTAACTGATGACGTGGGTAACATATCTGTAGTTGATCTGTCTGTCTAAGGCGTGCAGTCTTAACTTATTGTGCAACTCTTGCCGCCAATAAAAATCTACTTAAAAACAAACTTGATACTATCCTTAAGCCCTACAAAATGACTCCAAAGTACTTTTGCAGGTCACCTTCATTTTTATCTGTTATAAAGGAAAACAAACTGAGGGTTTTTTTTAACTTGTTTATGAAAAAGTCACTAACAACCTTTTGTGTTCTTCCAACTGGCTTTTTGTACAATATACGAATGCAATACAAAGTTCAAGTGAAAAAGTATGTCAATAATATAGTATTAGTTCGGCATTTTTTTATTATTGTTAATTTAAACTAAAGATTATAATTGCAACCTACGTCAAACGGTGTTGTGTTCGCGTGCTAATTCATTAATGCCTTTAAGACTTGCTTTCAACGTCAACAGGCAGAGCTTAACTTACCCGGCAACACTTAACCTTAACTCATTTGTGGTCTTTTGTCTTGATGTGGTTTAAGTTGTTCGCATGTATGACATATTGAACTGGTTTTAAACAGTCCTGCAATAATTACTCATACACTCAAACAGTTTATTCACATTGTCAAAACTGTCACCTGCTATAATATAATCATAATCAAAGTATCTCTGTAGAAATTTCAACGTTTAACTTTTTGTTCAGAAGTTTTGCTTATCATTTTATTTTATTTTTAGATTTTATTATTTTTTAATTATTATTGATTTTGAATTTATTCTAACCATTGGGAATTATCACTGAAAAGAAAATCCACAACAAAACTTTGTTTAAACCAAAACTTTTGTTTAAAGGCATATTTTGCTTGAGAAACTCATAATTGTGTAAGCTTTAGAAATGCTAAACATGTTTGATAATGTTTAATAACTTTTAGAAATACAAGTTATAGAATTTCAAGGACATAATGGGCCGGAGACAGAAATGTTTTGATTCACATATAATCAAATTATTTTAGAAATTTAAATTGCGTAGTCCACTATGCAACTTTGCAGCAATGTTTGGTTTTAAGTTACATGAAAATATTTTAGAAATTTTAAGGGCATAACCCGCTTCAAAACTTTTACAGCTAATGTTTGGATTTTGTTTTGCAGCTGTAAACAATATATGAGCCGTGCCATGACAAAACTAACATTATGTGTTAGCGACCAACATGGATCACATTATGCGTTTGCGACCGCATCCGCGCAGTCTGATCAGGATCTTTGCTGTCCGCTAGCAGTATCACTACTTGTAATAGGGTTTGTAAGCGAACAACA